ATTTCAGGAATGCGGGCGACATTGTGAGTGGTACGATCATCCATTTTTCTCGCTCGCGATCAAAGGCAGCTGCATTGACCCCGCGGGGTCAGCATTGGGAAATGCATTTGCGCACAGCCCTTTGTAGGACTGAGAAAAAAAGCTGCCACTATTGCCTTTCTCAAGCCCTTAGCAATATTCCGCTATATAAAATTAAAAACAGGCATTCAGCTCCATTGGTATGAAACTGTTCCCCGTACTTAAGCAGAGTGGAGTGATATTGATTAATTACAATGAGACTGCATTTCTCGATTTATACCTGCAGCAGTTACAGACCCCCTACAATGACTGCAACATGAATTTTAGATAATTGCCCTCGTGGTTAAATCAGGGGGGGGGGGGTGGGTGTGGGGAACCTCTTGCCGTTTTCAAAAATTCTGCGCGTCGGCTTTCAATCGGCGTTGATTTTGAGACGGTCCTCACGCTACAGCAGCTCAAAGAGCCTATCGGTTGGATTTAATTTATTTCCCTTAATTGCACGCCTGATGATTCACCGCCGCCGTGCTTGTGAAGGAACGGGCGACGACGCCAGCGTCCGTGCGATGTTGTCAAATCGCTGCGGCTCCCTCCGTGGACTCGCGTGACCTCGATAGCACGGACCGCACGCAGGCCTAGGTGAGCCGCAATTAGTTTAGAGAATTCCACCAGGAGAGGGGGGTGATGCCTTCTGTATCAGGGCTGATACAAGGGGTCACGTCTTTATGGCAGATATTGCCAGTTAACCAAACAGCGCATTTCTTTCCTAGAGCCAAGGAAGATATGTATATATTCTATGGTTATATATTTTAAAAAATATCGTCACGCATTGCAATGCACGTGTATATTTTGAATAATGCGCGTAATTTTTCAGATGGAAAATTTTTTTTGCCAAATAATACAAAAGTATTCTTTTTGTCTTTCGGTAAAGTCACGTAGATAGGTTGAAAGAAAATAACAAAAAAACTACGACGTTTCGATCGCAATACAAGCGATCATCATCAGGAGGAGAAAAAGATAAAAAATATTTTCTGTAGCGATAATAATTGTCATGGAAATAATAATGTTTATTTACCAAATATGAATACTGACTTATTTGTCCTGGTTCTGGTATTATGGTACAAATGCGTAATCTACTTTAAATATGTGATGACTATGTATGGTTAATAACAATAACTACATTTTGCATTATGTTGCAATTGTACATACTCACTGTAAACCAAAACAGTGATAAATGACAGTATCGTTGCCCTCGTTATAATTATTAAAAGCGATTGTCAACGTTGTCATCCTATAAGCAAGGATATCAGAAACACATTTTTCGACATTATTTGACGCTTAAAGTTTTTCTCAAGATATTTCCAGAACGGACAAAAAAATCGTCTCAATATGCACTCCTATTCTTGTTGTTTTGTTACCAAACATAAACCCTGGCATCGCTGTAACGGCTCCTCCCGAGACTTAATCAGCCAAGGGAAATCAGGCCTAATGTATTACACCACTCCTTTCTTTTCTGACTCGTAATAGAGCACGTGGTTATATCGTTTAAAAAAAGAAATCTGACAGCCATAAGAAGATGATTAGTATCTTTTCCCCCACCATTTACGTTTCTTCTGCCGTTATTTATTCCAATCTTTTTTTTTGGAAAGACATCTTCAAAATAATACTGTGAATGGCCTCGGTGTTAGATTTGTGTCTTCTTGACTGACTCCTCTTCTGATTTGCATTTGTAATTTTGAGGTGGTTAAAGTATTAATGGTAGTTTTTCTACCAAGAGATTACAATTAACTCAGGGGAAATTTTGTTATAATTTATAAATTAGTTGGGTTTAAACTAAGTATGAGTTGAACAAAAAGTTGCGGGCAATATGTTCACGAGACAAAATGTAATCATTTGTGGAGGGGAGATTTCCAGACAACAACAGAATATTAAAGCCAGGTCAGGATAAAAATCATAAAATAAAGAGACAAGTGAGTGCAGGTCAAAAAGAGTTTGGACTTTTGGAAATTTGAATCTAATAATGAAATGCACCTTACCAATGTGTAGAACATTTTCAATCGGTGCACATTGGATTTTGTGACAAATGACTCACAAACATGGACTCTCACAAGGGAAAATTAAAACCAAAATCTGAAAGTGCACAACAGATCGTCCAGAGATGCATGCTGAGGGTTTACACTGAGTGATAGTGCAAGCAACACGTGCAACAGAGCACAACACAAAATTAGACACATCACATTGACAGTAGAGAGGAGTCGGCAAGTAGGCTTCGGCAGGACACATCGCTGCAGATGAGACTGGCGTGTGAATGGCAGCCAAAGAAGGGGAAACGTGGCAGAGAGGATGAAATCTGCTCCTGTGCAGGAGCGAGATGGATTGTTGTATGTGTAACTATTATGTCGAACTTCTTTCGCACCGTACGTAGCCAACCGCGCTCATGGGGCGTGCGGTATGCCCGTGAGAGATGGAATTGGCATCGGAAGGCCCTCATTCAGCATTTGATAGATTGGAGATGATGATGAAGACAGGCAGAATATGTTGACAAACAAGAACACAATTATGTATTGAAAACATATTGAATCAATAATCGACTTCATTGACATGTTGGCAAACGTCCTATTTTTTTTGGTCTAATTTTTTAAAACAATTTGCAGCAACGGAGCACATCTCCCTGTGGTGTTTCAGCTATTGCTTGATAAATAAATATTTTGCGTATTATCGAAAGTACGATTTTTTTTCTCTTAAAGAATTCAAAACAATGAAAACTGACTTCTCAATTATAGCTAAAACGATTGAACGTTAAACAACATTTTTTTTTAATCAGATACAGTTCTCAAGTTAAATTATATGAATGCAGCCAATCGTACAAAAGTTGTTGCTTCTTAATGACGAGAAGAAAACGAAAGTCAAAAAACACCTGCCATAAGTTCATCACCTGGAAATATTCTAGAGGTGGGCCATTGCATGCAAAAAACATGAAGTTAACCAAATAAAAATCTGTGAAAGGAAAACAATTTATTTTATTTTAAAATGGGCCTCATAGTACTATGGGAGCCCTGAAACCATGGCTTGAGCTTTTTGCTTTTGTGAAAAGGAAGGGTATTTTTTTTCTATTCGAAGAAACATTGCTCAGGCTGGCCACAGGGAGATATTGAGGAA